ATTTTTGTGCAGTTAATGTGTCATTTGCGCACTTTACCCAATTCCTATCTTAACCCTAAATCTTAACCCTCAGTCTTAAAAATCCACGCTCCCCCAAAGTGCTAGTGCTGTCCCAATTCTCAGAGTGTTGAGTTGAGGGTCGAAAATAAGGGCTGTATGGCCCTCACTTTTAAGATTTTCCAGGACCACCCTTGGTGGTGAGTGCTATCCCAGAATCCTTTGTGTATCATTTGCTGAGCCCAGCCGAACCCGACTGAGTACAGACGATTCAGTCAATGCAAGATGGCGGCAACAAGCATAAGGAAGCAGAGTTATTTCCTTGTTAATAGTTGTTTTAAAATTATGATAACCATAGTATTTTCTTAGTTTAACGTCATTTTATGGACTATAGACCTCTTTGTAGCGTAACACACATATTTTTTTGGCTAGCTGCGACGGCTTACCTGCCCCGCACGTAACCCCGGTTCTCTGATAACCAAGTAATGCTGTCATTCAGTTACAAAAAGTCATTTATCTCAGTGATAATGTAGTTGTTAAGCTGTTTTAATATACATGAAATGTTTGCATCAACATTTTTGTAAGATGACCAGACGGTGTCATCTCCTGTGGCCGTAGAGTCTGCAGCTGGTAACGTTACAGCTGCAGGTTAACGTTAGTGATCGTATTATCTGGTGACTTTCCGCTGAATAAGTTAGTCAGTTGTTGTGGTACAGGTTATTTGGTTGAATATCAACTTATAACCCAAAGAGTGAAACATTAACGTGGATGAAAGTCACCAGATAACACAGTCACACAAGTCAAAAGTGTGATCATGTAAAGAGCCTCACTAGTTCTGCTGGATGACTACAGTATTCATTGTGATAATACTTACAATACTGCATGAACTAATAACTTAACGAATATCTGTCAGGTAGCCCAAAAAAACAAAAAAGAGAAAGTAATGCTGTTATCTCTGTTCCATTTCAGGGCCCAAAAAACTATGGGAATGAGTAATTTGTAACTTGTGAACTGTTCATATTCATAACATAATTCTCGGTCAAAACGGCAACTGTTCCCTTAGTGATCAAGCATTCTGTTTCAATATGAACATTTCATAAACAATGTATGACCTAATACATATGTTTCACCATTCAGTCATAACCTTTGACTTTTTTTTATTACACAGGCAATTCATCAAAGAGGCTGGCTTGGAGGGAATAGTAGAACATCAAAAAAATGGGAGAACTTGAAAACACGATACAAAGTGATGTGAAAAACCCTTATCTCATCATTAAAATCTATTGTTAGTTCTTGTCAGTATTTGTAATATTGAGTAATAAAGTGTGTGTGTGTGTGTGTGTGTGTGTCAGGAACTGAATAATCCCAACACTGGGTCGGGAACTGCATCTAACTGGAAATATTATCAGAATATGCATGATGTTTTGGGTGGTCGGCCATCAATTGGCCCTCCTCTGGTGGTGGCGTCATTCACTCCAACAGATGGGGACTTTACTGCTATTCTTGAGGTAAGTTTCGAAGACTAGCAACAATCACATGTTTTTTGTAACATAATTGTATGAGACTCATGGCCATGTCACCCGGTTCTTTTTTTTCCAGGCGATTGTTGGTGGTCCCTCCACCTCAACCTCTGCTGGTAATCCCTCAACCGATGATCCCTCAACCTCTGCCTCCGCTGATGGTCCCCCCACCTCAACAAATGGTCCGACGACTACTGATGACGTATATTTCTTCTTCTTTGAATTGACAGACTGGATGGAGTTTTGGCGTATTGCTGACCCCCACAGTCTTAAGATGTATTTGCCTTTGAGGGGTGTCCCATTTTAAAGTCACAAGATAGTCCTTAACACTGGGTTTTGAGGGCTAGTGAGATTGAGGGTTGAGCTTGAAAATTAATATTGAGGGTTAAAATAGGAATTGGGATTGGGCCTTTATCTCCCCTTAGAGGGATTGCACTTATGGGACATGTGCACCTTACTGTCACTCGCGCACTTTATTGCACACTGTGTGCCCAGAATTTAATTTTCGCAATTTTAGTCCTGCTTTAGTCCTGTTGCTCAGTGATTGCTGTCTGTGTCAGTAGTCTGTGTGCATGCTACCTGCACTTCCTGTCTGTATCTCTTGTATGTCTTGTGTATTTTGTGCTTTTCCTGCTGCTGCAACCTAAATTGCCCTTTGGGACATTAATAAAACTTGAACTTGAATAAGTCATCCGCAGACAAGACAATACTACTAAAAAGTAAACCAATATTAACAATAATGAAATAAGCAAAAATAATATTAAAATTATATTGAAATTTTAAAATCTATTTACAGAGTGGAATGGTAGCCTAATAGATAACTTAGATACAATGTATTATTGTTTAGACACTTTATTAATGCTTAGATACTATTTAGCCTATTATTGTATTTACTTTTAGCATGCTCTACTTTTATCTACTGTGGGCTATATGTTTTAATTTATTTAATAACGAATTTATTTTATGTTAGGCCTACATCTTAATATTTTGTGTCATTTATCATAGTTTAGTTCTTAACTCCAATGTTTCCTCAGTGGGAGCCGTGTGCGCCAGGGGGCTGCCGCTGGTTCTGTGGCGCTGGCTTGGGGTCTGCTCTCCCCTGGTGGAGCGGAGGGTGGCCGGGTTGCCGCCTCCCGATGCGGATCCATGTGATGGTGTTTTGTGTTTTGTTTATGCTGCCCCTTCATACTACAGTACATGACTTACTGTGTGGAAGTATGGCGGAACACATACAAAACAAATACACATCCAATCTTCATCCTCCAAAAAAGAGCTGTATGAATTATTCATAAAACCACTTACAGAGAGCCAAAAGATCCATTATCTATCAATCTAAAAACACTAACATTTCAAGATTTGATAATTTTAAAACTATTCAAATTATGTTCAGAGCAACAAATCAGTAGTTGCCTAGTAGTATCCAGGGGTTGTTCCAGCTAAGAGAATACAAACACAATTTGAGAGTTACCTGTTTATTCAAACAAACACCATTAAGGACAAATGCAAAATGTAATGTGAGATTTTATCCACACTTAAGAAACACTCTTCAGAAACAAACCATTGAATGGTTATGAGCTGGGCCAGTGGTTTTCTCTATGGTTATTTCTTGTTTGTGTGTTGTTTGATGGGCTTGGTACATCTGTTCTGATTATTCTGTTCTTGTTCTATCCAAACAGGTTGATTTGTTCAACTGAGATAAATATCATGGACACTGATGGCTGTAAATTAAACTTTCATTTTCTGTGATTAATATATAGAAATAAGAGGGGGTAGGACCAGAAACGTTTTTAACTTCTTCTCACCCCTGTTGAACATGAACGATATTATCTGAGTTGCTCAATTGCTGTTCATATGTTGCTGAGGATCCTGTTTTTTTTATTGCTTATAAAAGTTTTATTTTGTGTTTTGTGTAATTTTTAATTTTTCAATAAATTGCCCTAGAAAACACTCAGAAAAACAACTACTGTAGAATTTTAAGATTTTGGCACAATAAGTAGAATTAGCAGGCAACATACGGATGATTTCAGGTCACAATTGAGCAGAAGTATCAAGTAAAAGATTCAGCCTAAATGTGCTCAAAATAATGCGTCAATAATCTACTTCACTTTTATTTCATTTTACACATATCGAGACTTGCACTGATTATGACTTTGTGGTGATGATTTTCATAGTAATGATTTTTGTTGAGTTATTAGTTACAATAAACGTACATATATTACTCAATTGTTTGACTTCATGATCTATCGATACATTTTAACTGTGTCTTACAAGGTGTCCCAGCAGGGGCCAGTGCCCCCGTAACTCTGAGTCCGGCCCCCCCTGTGGCCCCCCCGCCGAAGAGTCAGACGTGCAACGCGGAACTAAATCGTCTCAACAGGTTGCTGGTCTGATCACTTAAAGTCTCCAACAATCGGCCAGATATAAAATGCCTCTGGTAAATGAACGTCTTTCTGTAGCGCACCAGCTGGAGCGCCCACTGAGAATTCTTTGGCTCCCCTCTTCCTCCCTCTCACCCTCCCCGGCCTCACCACAGACGTTGCTCTCCTAGCGCTAGCGTGAGCTTGAGTTGATAGAGCAGAACGCATTTCTAAGCGGAATACTGAGGAATACCGATATCCACTTTGTGAAGCATTCTTGAAAACACCCGGAAAACATCGGCAGAGAATTGTGTGGCTGTATTTAAGACAACTCTGAAACTGCAAGGCAACAGACAGCACCATTTAAGTAAGCTCTGAAAAATTCTTCTTTCTCATTTGGCTCATGGTAGTTACATGTCACATCATGTTGATGTAGCGATGTGAAATACGATCCGAGTTTTCATAGGTGTTTTATTTTGAAAATTGACTGGATACTCTCGTCTTTTCTACGCCTGACTTCCTGTTTGACTCATTTGGTCTGTGCAAATTGATGTGCCGTTGTGCAGCGTCCATCAGAAAGGGACCCGGCACGTATTTTTAGCGGAGCGGAGCGCCGAGCCACTTCTAGGCCACGGCTGGTGGAGCAGCTTACATTGACTTGAATGGCCGCTATAAGCTCCTGCACCCGTGCCTCAGCTAGATCGCGCAAGCAACGAATCCCATGGGTTGCCATAAATGGGCCTGAGGCATTCAACTACCAGAGGGCTTTTGAAATCTTTTCGAAGCCGCGTAAAATTAAATGCTCTGATTCAGGGTGCCGTACTTGCACATCGTGAGGGAGGGAGGGAAGGAGGAAAGCAGTAATTTGTGTCTATTTGTGTGTAATTGATTTGAGTCTTACCTTTTGTTCTTTTCGTATTGCGCATTTTGTATTGTTTTGTCAATCTGTAACTGTGTTTGTGAGTGAGAGAGTTTAAAAGAATATTTTGTCTGCACATGATTTAAAATGATAAAATAGCCCTCCAGAGGCAGATCAGTACGTTAGTAATTTTTTTTTTTTTTGATTACTGAAATGTTTAACCACTAATCCTTAGCCATATTTTAAGTGTAACCATAACATACCACTAGTGTTTTTATCAGTATTTATCATCACAACCTCTTATTGTTCAGACTTAGATATGGTATTTGACCCTACTTGTATGTGCCCCTGTATCAAAAGGACTGGCCTGAGCTTGGCCCTCCCATTTAAACTGGCCTATAACCGCCACTGAAAGGTGCCTATAAATACAATGCATTATTATTATTATTGTTGTTGTTATTATTATTAGTAGTAGTAGTAACTGAGTTGATCAACAGTACCTGGACTTCCTATGGCTCGTGAGGAGGAGGGCTCGAGGAGAGCTCGTGCTGTGATGGGACTATCCGTTAGTAGCCTACCCACACAGCCTCCTCCTCTTCCATCATGGCTCCGTCGGCAGAAAGGCAAGGATACTGGGGGCGGCCGACCTCAACGCTGGACTGGTGCGAAGAAAATTATGTCGTCTCTTTTTACATCGCGGAATTCTGTAAGTAAATACATTTAATCGCTCATAGTGGAAAGTGTGAGATTCGTGGCTGGTTTGAGGAGACTTTGGGGGAGGACGGCCGAACGATTGTAAATCCACAGAATTGTGGATTTACAATCGTCCCTGAATAACGTAAACATGACGTGGGAGCAGCGGCTGTAACAATCGTAGAATATGTTTCTGTTAACGTTACCTTGTTTGCTCGGGTTTTATGAATTTACGGTCTGTCAATATGCTACTTGTTAGCTAGCTCGCACGGGATTTTACCATGTTGAGCTGTAATGAGGAAAAAGAAAAGCTGTGTGCCGCGGAGATAATACCCCAGTCAGGCTGTTTTGCATAGCTTTACTTAAGGTTTTTGTTTCGCTCGGTACAGTGTCAGCCCATAGACACATCACATTTTAATTTCAGTCCGGCACTTAGTTGTATTTCAGCTCGACTGTAGTATGTGGTTATGAATGTTTCCCCTCGCAAGGTGCATTAACGTCATTCACTTGAAACTTGATGAAACGTCTCCTCCAGACTACCAAGGCGCCTCATTGCTTAGTCTAACCATAACAAACTGGTTCCTCAGGAACCATTATCTAGATTTTAAACACAGTTAGTGTCATAGTGTTCAAAAACTGTAAGCAGGCTTTCATGAAGGTAACTCATCACTGTGCAGGCAATTTAAGCCCAAGAAAGTTATTTGGGGAATGAATTCAGAGGATTTGTAGTCCAGCCCTCTTTCCTGTGCATGGTATTAATTAGCTTTTCAAAGGACAGTCTTTTTCAGTTAATGGCTGCCACACCAACACGTAATTCAGCAAGAAATTCTATAATATCCTACTTTGCAGAATTCATAGGGGGTGAATTAAGGGTAGTTTTTGAATATCCTCCATCTGTAAGGTTTCTAGCCTAAAATAGAAAAATAACCTAACAAATGATACATGTAATACTGATGATGTTACCTATCTATTTGTCTGGGAAAGACAGTTATATCATTTTCCAAGGAGGCGTGACATACCCTTTTAATTAAACTGATTCCAAACCTCTGTTTTTGGTAACATTTGGGTGATAGGGACAAGATCAGTGGCATACAGTAGTTAGGATAGGCCCCAGTGCACGCTATTATGATGGGCCCCAGTGCCAGATTTTGTGTCGAAACAGCTACTGTATTTTTAATCGTATCTTTACATAATCAAGTACAGACTTGACGTTAAACAAAATCAACATACAAATTACCAAGAATCGCTGCAAATCTATGTGACGAAAAATACCAAATAAAATAAGAAATTAATCAATGAATTGATTTTTAAAATAGTTGAACATATAATTGAACATATAATTTTGTTATAGAACACTACTGACTATTTCAGAAAAGGAAAAAAAAAGAAACAGACAGAGATTGGTTTGCCTTCTTGAGGGTGTAAAACAGATGACTGCATTTGTATTTTAATGCGTGTTCTTCTTTGAACAAAGGGGTATTTCTGAGGTGGCAAGTTGAACCACTCGAATGGGCCTATTCTCTGCCCTAGAGAAAGCATGCCCTCCAACTGCTCTCTCTACAGGCCCCCCAACCCCATGGGCCCCAGTGCAACCGCATTGCCTGCACTTTCTTTATTTATGTCCCCGGACAGGACCTTTGGGACAGGAGCTTTTGGTGATTGGGACAGGACATCAAACAGATTTTAGGTCTGTACATCTGGCTCATGGTGCATGCAATGCACATTCTCAACCTAGTTAACACCTATTAGTAGGGATGCACCGAAATGAAAATTTGTGGCCGAAGCCGAAACCGAATAATACTAAACGCTTGGCTGAATACCGAGTACTGAATACCGAATATTGTTGTTTAGTTTTTCATTAGTTTTTGCAGATGAACCCCCTCCAGATTAGTGTTGTCAGGGAACCAATATTGGGACCCACTGTACGATACCAATGAAAATATCATGGTTCTGAGTAGTATCACGATACCACAGCGAAAATGAGGCAGATGTGCCTTTTGTCATTTATAAAAAGATAAATCACTTTTCTATAATACATCAATGATATTTCAGTGGAATAAATTACTTATTGACTTATTCATACTTCAAAAACAGCATCAATAAGTGATTAACATAGGGGGAATCAAAATAAAATAAATAAATAAAATAAGAATCAACCAGCCACCCTCCTCCCCTGACAAGTCCCTTCATAAGTAACGAACAGTCCCTAAAGTGCGGTGAGGTTTGTGGGCCGTGAACGGCTCGTTTCTCCTCTGACACATCACATACCTGTGTTCGGCTGGCTCGGCTGTTCAGGTACTTTTGGGCAGTCATGACACCAAGAAGAGGATATTATTGGAGCCGACTTCTCTGTCGCGGTAAGCCAATGGCCGCTGTATTTGACAGGAAAACATTACTGTCTGTGTCTGTGACCCCCGTTCAACCCACAACCGATGGGATTCGCCTTTCGTTTCTGCTGGTGGTCAAAATCTGGAGGCTGCTCGCACAGCGTGCTGAATGATTTAAGCCTATTTTGCTCGCTCAAAACTATTTTTAGTCGCAAATGCGAGTGCCGTGACGGGCAGATAGCTACACTGCCGACATTTTACTCCACCCGTCACGGACGCTGTTTGATTGCGTTATCAAAACACGCCACTATTATTCGGCCTTGCTTTTAACTTATTCCACCGAATACCGAATGTGTGGTTTTTTGCAATATTCGGCCGAATATTCGGTGCATCCCTACTTATTAGTATTACCAGTGTGTGGCGGTGAGACTCTTGCTCACTCAGATCACCAGCAGCCAACCAATGTAAACAATAATAATAGAAAATGTAAACAATCACTAGACCCAGACCAGGCCAGACCCAGACCCAGACCCAGTCCAAAGCTTTGACCAGACCCAGACCCGACCAGACCCGACCAGACCAGACCAGACCAGACCCAGACCACACCAGACCACACCAGACCCAGACCCAGATCAGACCAGGCTAGACCCAGACCAGACTAACCAGACCAGTCCCACATCCATGGACACTAAACATATAGACAAAAGGTAATACTGAAGTGTACCTCATGAAAACATACAATCACTGCATTGATTGTCTCACAAAGCTTTGGTGCAATTTGAATAGAAATTGAAAAAACCCACCTCTGAACTAAAGTGCATTTTAAAAGAAAAGAAAAGTGGTTGTCTAAAACATCTGGACAATCTAAACCCAACTGTAAAGTCCATGACACTAAGGCCCCTTCATGACTGCTTCCTCACTATTTGCTGGGGACCGTAAGATTTCTCTGCAAGAAAAGCAGCTGATCGGCATGTTCTGGAGTGAGGCAGCTCCTTTTTGCTGTGACAATGTCACCAATGGTTGAGAATACCCTCTCAGAAGGGACACTGGTCCCAGGCACACAAACGCTTCGCTTGGTGAGCTAAAAGGGGGTAACTCGCCTCATGCTTCATCCACCAGCTCAGTGGATTTTCAGAGAGTGGGAGAGGATCTACTTCTCTGTATCCTTTGACTTCATCCTGTGCCTTCTCAGGTGCACTTCTCACTGGTACCGCTGGTTCTTTTGGCTTGTAGGCTGAACCCAGGAGAGACATCAGTGCAGAAGAAGGCTCCTTGGACCTCTTTGTTGGAGGAGGATCAGCAGCAAGGGAGCTGTCTTCCTGCTGTACAGAAACAGCAGCATTGATTCATTGCATTGGCTTTGCATAGATACAGGTATACAGTGTGTATACAGTACACTTACATGCACAGACACACCCCAGTGTATTTTAACTATTTTATAATGCAAAATAACTGAGCACACACTAGGGGTTATAAATTTGTCTTTGCTGGAAACCCATTAGATTGAATTTTGTACAGACAACCAATGTATTAGTCTGCTATTCAACCCATCAAACTACAAGCTAGCCACCCCCTCCCTCACACGGAGACACACACACACAGAGAGAGAGAGACAGAGACACACACACACACACACACACACACACACACACGTTAAGTAAGCATACCTTGAATCCAAGTTGTCGTGCACGGCAGTCTTGAGGTCCTTAATCACGGGTGACTCGTTGGGGACACTGATCATCTCATCCAACAGTTGTGTGTGCAGGGTTGCAATGACGAAGAGTGTTGGGGTCATCTCTTCGGACATGACCAGTGTGGCTGCCTTCAGTAATAATAATAATAATAATAATAATAATAATAATGATAATACATTATATTTGTGTATAGCACTTTATATCTGAAACAGATCTCAAAGTACTGCAGTAAAGGATGAGCTAAGATAAGACAAACGACAAAAGAAACAAAAATGAGAAAATACAAAACATAAGAATAAGACGAGTGATACCTTCAGTGGCTGGAGAGCTTTCACAATATTTTCTGCCACTGTCACGTCAGCCTCTGTCAGGGTGCAGAGGTCTTGTTTGTTGCCGCAGGTGAGAGCAGAGTTGCTGTGATAAGATAAGAAAAACTTTATTGTCCAATTAATATTAAATTGAAATTCATCTTTGGCACTGGCACATAGACAGACAAACATCATTAAACATATTATATCTGTCTGTCTGTCTGTCTGTCTTTCTGTCGGTCTGAGATGAGACCAGGCCTACACCGCCATGCAGGACACCCTGCAGTCAGACACACATCGCCCACACAGCCAAGCTCCGCCCACCCATCCAAGCTACTTAGCCAGCCAAGCTAACTAGCCAGCCAAGCTAGTACCTAGCCACCCAGCCAAACTACCTAGCCAGCCAAGCTACCTAGCCATCCAAGCTACCTAGCCAACCAAGCTACCTAGCCAGCCAGCCAGTCAAGCTACCTAGCCAGCCAAGCTACCTAGCCATAAGAGTGCCTAGGGTCAGCACACGCATATGCGCCCCTAATGGTATTCACCTGTGATCGCTGGATGTTGCTCCAAGAAGTCTTCCAGCATGCGCAGTGCGCTGTTCCAGCGGGTCACCACGCCGTGTTGAGGCAGCTCCAGAATCTTTTGCTTCTCTTAAGCATGTTGCTTGTCATTGTGCTGCAATGA